GAGGGAGGGAGGGAGAGAGAGAAGGGAACCGACCACATATGCTCAGGTGCAAGCTGTTAACCGAGGGAGCTGGAGTGGGAATCCGGATGTGAACCACAGCCTTCCTTCTACTTTGGTGGCGGTTGAGATGTTTGACAATTTTCACAACGAAAAGGGTTGGGGGGGCACTGATTCTTATCGCATATCTACAGTGGGCAAACACTGCTTTATATTTTTTCCTGTGACATACACTAAAGGCCGACGAAGCAGGAAAAAAAGATGCCCACTTTTATTCATTTGTAGTGTAAAAAAGTTAAGTTATAGTTCTTATTTTATAAGTAAAAGATAATACTTTTTTGTGGTACTGGGGTTGGACTCCAGAGGTGCTTTACTATGAGGCTACATCTCCTGCCTTTTTCACTTTTTGAGACAGGGTTTTGCTAAGTTGCCCAGGCTGGCCTCGAACTTGTCATCTTCCTGCCTCAACCTCCCAAATAGGTGGAAAGACAGGTGTTTGTCATCATGCCCATGTTTTCTTTTCAATATGAGAAAGCACAAGCCCTGGTTTGAATCTGAGTTTGGGCAGTTATCGTCCTTGAAGAAGTGACTTCCCTCTTGCGCTTCAGTTTCTCCTTCTGGACAACTGAGTTCCTGATCATAATGCTTACATCTTAGGATTCTTGTGCAGGTGCATGAGGAAACAGTGATGCAGGTAGCATGTGCCTGGCACATGGGACATACCCTGTAAGTGGGACCTCCTCTTATTCTTCTGCTGGCCTCTGCTCTGAGGATATTGAACACCTCAGCGCCTCTGGTCTTCCCCAGCAGCTACTAAATGTGAGGTACTAACCGGGCCTGGGAATCAGAAGGTTGGGGGAGGGACTTCTGCAGCCTCCTCCCACTCTGGGTCACCACGGGCCATTGTTCCAATTGTCCTGGCCTCTGGCCGCCCTTCTGGCCCCCCAGGAGCTGTTTGCCTTAGAAGCTTGTAGCTCAGTCCTCCCATATGTGGAATAAAACTTGTGCTTATACTTGGCTGTGAGAGGCTAATTGTTCCCAGCTCAGTTCCCAAGCCCTAGCAGTTCTGGCCTCCTCCTTCCCTCCCCTGCCTTCCCCCGAGTTCCAATTAAGAGTCTGTGCCAGTCAGCTAGCACTGGTATGTTGGGCAGCAGCACCTGCCCCAGGGAAGCTCGGTGGCCTTGGGTTGGCTGCCTTCCTGGGAGTGAGAGGCCTGTGGCCGGGGTGGGTCCATGCAGCTCTGGACCTGCCCTCCTTTGCTCGCTACGAAGGTGGAAAATTGGACTCGCACCTGTCGTTCCTTTAGGGTCCGGCCTCCCCCACCTTGCAGTAATCAATGCTAAGGCTGCTTGTCCTAGGGTTGGTCTTGGTGATGGCCCATGTGGCAAAATACAGCACAGAGGGGCAGAGGAGGCTTCAAGATGTGACTGCAGTCACCTCAAGGTCACCAGGTCCTTGGGCTCAAATACAGAGACTGCAGCTCTCTCCTAGTCCTCCCAGCTTTCCAGGGCTACACACTCCCCTCAAATAATCAGCCTCCATTCCCTTATCTAGAGGGAGTGCCACGTCCAGAGGGAGCAGGCAGCAGCTGGCACCCGCCCCAAGTTGCTGGGGGCAGACGCCACCCCTTGAAATATTGGCTAGACCACGCACATGTGATTTGCCTTCAGTTCTCGTGGGCAAGGTTGGGCTCGGGGCTCCTTGTTCCAGACGCAGGTCTGGGATCTCAGCCAGGGTTGGGTTCCAGGAGAGGGTGGTTGAGAAGCCCTGACTTACAGTCACAACTGTGGTGCATTTACTGTCCTACCGAGCACCGCCGTGGTATCAGCTGTTACGGGCTGAACCTGCACCCTCACATCCCCAGCCCAGCACCTCAGGACGTGACCACATTGGGAGACAGGGCCCTTAGAGAGGTGATGAAAGGGAACAAGGCCCCTAGGGCTGGCCCTAATCCAACAGGACTGGTGTCCTTGGGCCACAGACACCCACGAGGGAACACAGAGGAAGCAGGCAGCCACCCATGAGCCAAGAGTAGAGGCTGCCCAAGAAGCCAGACCTGTTGACACCTCGATCTTAGACTTCGGTCCCTGGGAGAAAATTTACTTCTGTTGTTTAAGCCACTACTTTGTCACTGCAGGCTGAGCAAACAAATACAGGGCTGCCGCCAAAATCGTTTTCTGAGTTATTATGATGTGTTTGACGCTGTGTCAAATAGAGTAGAGATATCATCTCATTTAATCCTCACACCATCCTCAGTCCACAGTGAGGAAACCAAATTTCAGTTCCTCAGCAGCCAGTGCAAAGTAGATGCTCAATAAATATTTATGGAAAGACAAGCACAGGCACGTTAAAGACCTTGTCCAGGTAGCTAGGCAGAGCCGAAGCCAGGATTTTAGCCCAAGTTGCCCTTCATCCTAATCTTGCAGCCATAACCACATACAGCCCGAGGACCTGCCCCAGCAGGATGCCCATTGGAGCTATGGGTGATGTAGGAAGTGCAGGTTGGTTTTTCCACTGGGTCCTGGCTATACCAGGTGTTCGGGCCTGAGTAAACCTGGCCCTGTTAGATGCCCCTGCACTGCCACAGCTGGGCCCTGACCACATTCCCTGAGGCCTTTGCGTGCTGGGAGAAAGCGTGTGTGCCCTCCGCTTGACTTGAGCCTAGGAATTCAGACAGGGGATCCCTCCTGCTCCACCCTGATGCCTTTTCTGCATGCCCCAGACCCTCACGGCTCCCTACTGCGGGCAGGGGGACCCCAAATACCTTGTAGCCCTGGTTGATGCCATTGATGAACTGGGGGCTGGGGGCGTTCCAGGTGAAGCGGATGGCCGTGGAATTGGTAGCTTCGGCATGCACGTTGCCCGGGGGGACCGTGGGAACTAGAGGAGATCAAGAACCAGGGTGGGCGGAGGGCCCCTCAGTCTGCTTCGCCCAGTTCCACAGAGAAAACACAGGCACGGGGGACCATAGACCGCACTTCACCACCCTTTGTAACTGGTCCCCGAAATGTAGACATGAGACACCCTCTTCCCGTTTAAACCTGGCCTGGCTCACTGCCTGGGGCACCGAAAGAGAAGGTGATGGCTAGGCAAACATCACATGTCCTGCTGGGTGGCGCGGGTGTCTCAGGCAGAACACAAAAGACAAAGCATCCCGTGATCCCTTTCTTGTGACTCTTCTACCCCACCCTGGCTCTTCCTCCTCTTCCCCTCAGGTGCCCACCACGTGGGAGCTGCACACACGGTGGAGATTCCACCCAGGCTCGACATCGAGGGCCTGGATGAAGTCACAACTCCATGTAGGTGCTCAGAACGGGGTAGGCAGAGGGCGCAGCAGGTACGAGGCCTGGAGCAAGGGTCGCAGCCACTGCTCCGAGGCCCCAGCCTCTACCCACCTCCCTGCAGGGTCCACTCGGTGACCTTGCTGCTGTAGACGCCTAGCCCGGCACCATTGTAGGCGGCCACTTCGATCTCGTAGTTGGTCCAGATGATGAGGTCCTCTAGCAACAGGTTGTTGACATCCGCATCCGTGATGTTCTTAAACTGGTACCCAACAGGCAGCCCGGCCAGGCAGTACCTAGGGCAGCGATGGTGAACCTTTTAGAGCTTTCAATGATATAAACAGCCTGCTGTGGCACGTGTGCCCTGGGTTTGCCACCATTGGCCTAGGGGAGCAGGGGAAGGTCGGGCCCAGGAGATGGTCTAGAGCAGCACTGCCCACCAGAACGTTCTGTGACAGGGGCAGAGCTGCCCAGCGGTGCTGTCCCAGAGGGAAGCCACTAGCACAAGTGGTTGTCAAGCACCTAAGATGTGCTTAGTGCAGCTGAGGCAGTGACCCGGATGCTGGTGTATTTCCAATTTGCTTAAAGCCCCATAAATGACTGGTGCTATACCTTCCCGGGTGACACAGGTCTAGGTGCTGTGTCATGACTATTTTTTGGTGGGGGGTACCAGGGATCGAACTTGGGATCTTGTGCTTGCGAGGCAGGCGGCGGGACCGCTGAGCTAAATCCCTGGCCCATGATTCTTCCTTTTGATGGGGGAAGAGGACGTGACTAGAATGGCTAAGCAGGGATGCTCAGGTGTCCCAGGGCCCAGCCTCTGGAGGTCATCGGCAGGAGACTGGTTTTCCCAATGCTGGGCTCCTTCTCTCCCTCCCTGTAGGATAGTGGCTCCCTTGCTCGGGAGGAATGAAAATATCTAAGGCTGCCTGCACTACCCACATCTACCTTTCCCGGAAAACAACTCGGGATAACAGAACAACAGCCCTTTATTTTAGGATTAAATACAAACTCACAGCAAAACTAACCAATCAGGGAGCAGTCAGACCAACAATGGTGTCCTCCAACTCTGGGGGATCCCAGCACCCACGAGGCAGCAAGGAGACCCAGGGTGTGGCCGGGCACTGGCCAGCCGGGATTCAGAACATGGGTAAGCATTTTCAGTAGCTTCAGACACTTAGCTCTTTATGAATACCACATTCAGGTAACCCTCTGTAGCTTTTAGGTTACTGGCATAGTAACAATATAATAATACAAGTCTGCATAACTGGATTCTTTTTTCCAGCAAAGACCAGAGAAAGGACTTTCACTTTTCATCCGATTCTTGCCTTCTTAGTGTCTGCACTCATGGGCTGCGAGTCTGGCCAACACGGAACATTCTGGGTTTTCCAGGCGGCTGGCACCCGGGACGATGGCCTCTTCCCTCTCCCGTCTCCCCCGTCAGCCCTGGCACAGCAGCCTGGCCTGCCACTGAGCCTTGAGATTATATTGTGTGCTTTCTCAGCCACTGCTGCTGGTTCCCAAGGCTGTCACTGCAGGAAGTGCTTCCAGGTGTCCGGCGCAGGTCCTCCTGCCACAGTGTGGGCACTCTCGTGGCCAGGGCCTCGTTAGGCGGAGAGCACCGGATGTGCATTTGCACTTTTGCCATCCACTTCCGGTGCCCACCGCCACCCCTTTCTCCTGGGGTCGGGCCGCTCTCCTGTCCTCAGGCGGGCGCCTACCTGATGATGTAGCCCTTGAGGATGCCGTTCTGGTGGCTCTCAGGAGGTGGCTGCCACTGGATCATGATGGACTGGTTGGTCCGGCCGCTGGCGATGACATTCTGGGGAGGGGCTGTGGGCGGCTCCTCGGGGAGGGAAACCCTGAATCAGAAAAGAGCAGATGGGGTGTTCACTCACTCTCTGGGGACAATACAGGCATTTAACAGGAAGGGAAGAGGCCAACCCTGCCCTGTTCTGACTCTGGATGATTCCACACTCTTGCTGTGTGTGCCCTTGGGCAAGTCCCTTAACCTCTCTGAGCTTATTTCTCCAAAAAAGTATCTTGCATGACCGGCTGAGTTTCAAATGACTTTCTATCCATCTATCATCTATGTATGTATCAAAAACACTACAAAATACCAAATGTGTGTGCTTTTGCTGCAGTTGAGGGACATGGGCCTCAGTTTCCCATTTGTCAAAGCAGCTACAATCGGGGAGGATGAGGTCAGGGCTGTTCAAGAATTTCAGAGGGAGGAGTCTCAGGTAGTTACTTCCCACTGGCCACCTGGGGATGGGCTTGACCAGGCTCTTCACAGGTGGGGCCGTGGGCTTGGCGGTGGGGCCCAGGCACCGCCAGCCCCCTGGAGCCCAGTGCTGTGTCTCTCTGGCACCGCCATGGGATGCACTGTTCCGCCCGAAGTGTAATTTTCACCTCACTGACACTTATCTGTTAAGAACAAAAGTTAATTATTTCCGATGGATGCCTTTCCCTCTTTTTCTGATGCGACACTGTTCCTAACAGTATTGGGAGGGCCCAAGTTGGCTGATTTAATCTTTCCCTTGGTGACTAGGAAGATCAGCCCTGAGAGGAAGAGGAATCATCAGTACACAGTGAGGCCACAGGGTGGAGAAGGTGGGTGTTGGGCTTCCTGGCCCTGAGTCCTCCTGTTGGGATTCGGCAGCTCTGGAAGGGCTGGGGGCAGGCAGGTCTGTTGTTCACTGTGTCGCCTGCAGGGGGCCATGCATAGCTGGGTGCATAGCAGGTGCTCAATAAACAGTGAACAAGGACAGGCCCTATGGCTCAGGGCTGCAGCTGAGAACGTGTGAGGCCCCAAGCCCCGTCCTCAGCACTACAGAAAACAATAGGGAGCAAACGAACTCCCCTCTGCCCGCTGCCATGCTGCGGGTGTCCCACGCCTGGGGATATCACTAGTGGCAGCCACAGGCTTGAGCCCACTGGGACACTGGGGAAACCACGTGCTTGACCAAAGCATCTCTGGAGAGCTGAGTCACAGCTGACACACATGGCACACGTAGCACCTCCCAAATGACGTTTTCCTTCCCACTAGAGATGGCTGTTTGGTCTACAGGGTAAGCTGGGCAGAATGCTCCTTCTGCCTTCCGCTACACGGGTGCGGCGCTGGGGCACAGTGTGCCTGCTGTGACAGTCAATGTCCACCATTTTGTCAGTGGTTTGCTGGACCCCTCCCGGGGCCTGGTATCATGTGTGGCACCAGGCACAGATACTCGTGAGACCCCACCCTCAGCTCCGTGATCTTTGACAATGGTGGCAGCACAAAGAGCTGTGCAGCAGGAAGAGGCAAGTTCTGGGGTCACGGGACACGTGGTCACGGCAAATCGTGGGGGTCAGCATTACTGTGTGCCATGTTCTGCCCACCGCCCTCTGCCCGGGCTGTCTCCCTTCTCCTCATGCTGTCCCCGAGTCTACGGGGTGGAGACTGAAGCCTGGAGGGGCGGAGACACTGAGCCAGACTGGCCCTGTGGCCCCGTTCCCTCGCCATGCTGGTCAGCAGCAGGTGGCCCCCGGTGGCCCCAGCAGGAGTGGCCGCTCCCCTCACCTCTCAGTGTCCTTGCTGAACTGCCCTTTGCCCACATCATTGACGGCGCAGAGACGGAACTGGTAGGAGCGGGCGGGAACCAAGCCCTTGACCATCACTGAGGTGGCTTCTGGGTCCACGCTGGCCAAGAGAGTGGTCCACGGGGCATCTGCGGAGACAGCGGGTGGGGTGGAAGTGGGCATTCTAGGGGGACAGGACATGCTCTCCTCCTGCCTTCCCAGCAGGAGCCCAGCCCTTCTGGGCTGGCAGGAGAGTGTGGGCCTGCCCATCACACCCTTCTTCCAGGTTCCAGCAGCCCGCACGACTTCAGGGGCTGGGGGGCATGGAGAAGAAGCAGGGGCTCATGGGAGCTAAGACGCCTCCATCTTCCCCCTCAAACTGATGAGCTCAGGGAAAACCGTACAGAAAACACCATTTAGGTTATACCTGCTAATTCTGGAGTTCACAGCCCAGGGCCTTGGAGAAATCAAAATAAAAAAATAAGACTAAAACTAATAACCATTGTCTTTGAGGCCGGTGCTCTGGCAGGCACTGCTTTAAGCACCTCCTGCACACTGCTTCTTGGGCTGTCTGTCACAGAGCCCTGACAGGCTGAGGCCACTGTTCCCTCCACAGCCGAGGAAGCCCAGGCCGCTCAGAGGCCGGAGGTGGGGAGCGGGGACCCAGCCCAGGCTGCTGGCCCCTTCCCCCCGTGAGTCCGGGGACCTTACTGTTCTCCGACATCTCCAGGACATAGCGAATCAGGGGGCTGTTCCCGTCGAAGGGTTTGGCCCACGTCAAGTTGATGGCCCGTCTCTCCACCGTGCTAAGCGTGGCCACCGGGTGCTCGGGGGCATGGGGCAGTTGCCTGGAGGAGAGAGGAGTGTGGGGGAGCTGCCCGAAGGGTCTGTGGTCACACGACAGGGACACCGGGGACTGGGTTGGCTCAGATGCAGGACACGGTGCCCAGCCACCCACCTGTGGATTCCTGCCTCGGGAACAGAGCCCAAGGTCTGAGCCCTGCTCGCCCCCCTGCTCCTGACGGGGGTCTCTGAGCTGGTGGAGGGGCCTAGAAGGCTGCTTAGGGCGAGAGTCATGCTCCTCGACCATTTTTGCCACCAGGGGCCGGTGCTCTGGAAGACAATCTGTCCAGAGACCAGGCTGGGTTATGTGTGGGGGTGATGGCTTCAGGATTGGATTCTCGCAAGAACAACCAGATGCCTGTGTGCCCAGGGCACAGTAGGGTCAGAGCCCCTGTGAGAATCTAACGCTGCCCCTGATCTGACAGGAGGTGGGACTCAGGCGTCACAAAGGGCCTTGTGCTGTGGCAAAGGGAGCGGGTGGGCTGCCCTTACCTGACTCGCAGGTGGGCACTGCGGGAGTCGTTGCCACCGGCGGAGAGCACCCGGCAGGTGTACGTGCCGATGTCCCCTGACCAGGTCTGTGTGATGTGCAGGGAGCCGTTTTTGTCCAGGCGGATTCGAGGATTGCTCTCCACGGCCAGGGTGGCCCCGTCCTTCTCCCACACATACCTAAGAACGGGAGGAGGAAGTGCCAGTTAGAGGGGAGAGAGAGAGAGGGAGAGGGAGTGGGAGTCAAAGCTCCTCCTGGAAAGAGTGCACCAAAGACAGGCAGGGGACAATCCCAGGTTATGGTGGCTCCTCTGGGGCTCGTCTGGCTGGGCAGGAAACTGGCCCTGGAGAGAAGGCCATGGATCTGAGAGTCCAGGAGTCCATCATCCCTGCGGAGGGTGCAGAGCTGGAGCGGTCACACATTAAGTCATTATCGGTCATTTACACCTGCAGTCCAGGCCCCCGGGTCAAAGCGTTGTTGCTTTTGGCAAGAAGCCACCGCAAAAGAGCCGGCACAGAAAGGGAGTGCCCCCGAAGAGGTGAAAAGATTACGGCTGGAAAAAAGAATGAAAGTTTCCACATAGACTACATTTTTGGAATTAATTTTATGAGGAAAATCATTAGATCAACGCATCACTGTGAGAAATTGACTTTAGTGTCCAAAAAATCACTTTAGCTTCGGTCAGTCGGTATGAAGGGGAACTTGAGAAATTACACGCACGGCAGTGTCTGACAACAAGAAATATCTCCTCTGGAACTGTTCTGGAGGAAATGCAACCGTTATGGTTGTCGTGCATCCACTTGGAGCGCCGGCGCTGCCCGGGTGGGGGGTCCGTGACGTCCCCCTCTTCCCCCGAGAGAGTGGTGTGGGCTCTCAGCACAAGGCTGGCGGAGAAATGGGGTCATGACCGAGACCCCTGCCACCCCACAGGACAGGTGGAGGCTGGGGTTAGAGGATGTGAGGCGGTTAGCACGAGTGAGTCTGTAATATTGTTCAGCTGAGTTTAAAAGGAAAAACAAAGTCCAGATAGAAAAAAGAAAGAAAAGGAAAAGCATGAAGAAAACCCCAAAGTTTTCCTGCCATGGGGCGCCATGGTGATCGTGTGTGAATCTGACCCTCCCGTGGACAGGCGGTGGACGGCAGTGCTGCTGTGCTTGTAGGCACAGACTCCCGGTTCAAAGGCCACCTCTGCCTAGCCTGAGCCTTGTGCTCTTGGGTGAGCTGATACAATTTTGCTGCAGCTCAGTTTCTCATCTGTCACTCATGGGAACAAATAACCACCCACCTCAGAAAGTTACTGTAAGGGATGTGGAGCTAGGACAAGGTGCTTGGGTAGCGCCTGATGTGTGGTCCATGGGCAACAGAAGCGAGCTATCAACCTTTCAACCCACCCATCTGATCCATCCTTCCATCCATGTTTCCACTCATCAGCTCACGCATCCACTGATCCTTCCTTCCTTCTGCCCTGTCTTTAAAGGTGTCTTTTCCACTCAGCAAAATATCATGTACTCTTTTCCAAAATTAAAAAAAAAATTTTTTTTTTGAGCCAGAGTCTCACTATGTAATTCCAGCTGACCTTGAACTCACTATGGAGCCCAGGCTGGTCTGAAACAGCAACCCTCCTGCCTCAGCCACCCAAGCGCTAGGATGGCAGGTATGTGCCACCATGCCCACCTTCATATTTTTATTGTGACATTTCTGCACTGCGTTTCTTTTTTTAAAATCAGACGCAAGATGTCTTAATGAGACTGTCCCATCATTTAACTGATTCCCTAACGGAGGTACAGTTTAGCTTCTTTTTTCTGACATCACAGGTACTGCTGTGCTGAACATCCTTTTGGCAAAATATTTCCACGCTTTCCAAATCACTATCTCAAGGACAAATTATCAGCAGTAAAATTGGTGAGCTACTTTTTAAGGCCTCTACGATGTATTTTAACAAATCCACAACAATAATCACCTTCCACTCATCTCTTTGCCAACATTCAGAGGACGGACAAAATTTTCCTTCAAAGCAAGTTGAGTGGCAGAGAGTAACTCTTGCTTTAAAAACACTCTAAGGCAAGCAGACATTCTTTGCTTCAGAAAGCATGTGAAACCTATGAAATGTATGTGCCGAAGCCGCTGAAATCCAATTACTTGATCTAATTAGAAATACAGGGGCTAGAAGGACAAGTTAACCCCAGGAGAAAGTAGCTAGCCAAATCCAGGATGTGGGATATTCTATGTGGGGTTAGCAACATGGCCCACTGCTTGTTTGTATAAATAAAGTTTTAGTGGAACACAGACATGACCACTTGTGAACATACTGCCTATGGCTGCTTTTGTGCTACAGAGTCGAGAGATTATGACAAACAGTCTACGGTTCTTATGGGCCTAAAATATTTACTATCTGGCCTTTTACAGACACACTGCTGACCTCTGTCTTAGAGAACCTGGTTTCTCCAACAAATCAATTACATGAATACAAAACAAAAATAAAAGCAAAAATAAAGGTGGAAATGAAAATAAAGGAGCCCTCTCAATGAATGGTGTAATGAGTAGGGCATGGAAGCTCATGCCTGATATCCCAACAAGCTGGGGAGGCTGAGGCAGGAGGATCACAAGTTATAGCCCAGCCTAGGCAACTTCATAACTTAACCCAAACAAAATGTATCACAGACCTAAATATATGACACAGAGCTCTAGAATTCCTAGATGGAATTTTCTACAGAAAATCTAGAAGACTAAGTGTCTGGCATGATCCATGGAAGAAAGAAATGATAAGCTGGACTTCTTTAAAATTAAAAATGTCAGCTTTTGAATAGATCCTGGCAGGAGAATAAAAAGAGAAGCCACAGACTGGGAGGAAGTAGTCGGACAACGAATGTCTAATAAAGGACTATTATCCAAAATATACAGAGAACTCTTACAACTCAACCACAGGACAAGAAACCCTCGTCAACCAAGATCCACCAAAGGCAAACATGCGTCTGAAAATATGATCCACAGCCATAATCCCAGTTCTCAGGAGGCTGAGGCAGGAGGATCACTGTGAGTTCGAGGCCAGCCTGGGCTCCACCGTGAGTTCAAGACCAGCCTGAACTACGTAGCAAGACCCTGTCTCAAAAAGACTAAACAAGGAACAAAAGAAGAGAAAATAAAAGACACTCCATGTCACCGTCCTCTGGGAAATGCAACAATAGGCAACACAGCCACCGGAAGGGTCACAATTGAGAACATCAACATCACCGCAACAACACGGCAGTGGGGGCTGTCACTCCGTCTCCGCTGGTGGGAGCGCAAATCAGAGCAACGCCTCTGGAAGGCAGAGACGGTGGTTTCTCAGAAAGTGGAGCCCACTCTTAACATCGCCTTTCATGAACAAGAATGCACAAAAGAACAACACTCAGTCCATTATACTCACGGTAAAAATGTTCCAGAAGAGCCCACAATTCTATAACTGGCCGAGTAATAATGATGACCAGCAGATCTTCAGGGCCGTTCTGGCTTTACGTGACAAGAGATGGTTCTCAGAGCATCAAAGATGTGTAAAAACTACTAGCTGCAACTGTGCATTCACAATACGAGTTTTTACTAGTACAAATGTATAAATAAACTAAATTTCCAGCAACAGCACACTAGCACTGTAACTTATTTTCCAGTCACACAGTGGGTCCTTGAATAATTGTGCAACTGAGTTGATACAAAAAATATTTATTGATATAAGAGAAGAAGAGCAGGTACTTCAGGGAAAGATCAGATTAATACGCAATGCGTCTTTAGTTTTTTAAAGTAGCACCCAAATATTACTGCTTCTGTCCATAAAATTAACGGGAACAGGTCATTTAATTTCTCTCCTTCGTCCCTATTTTTTTTTTGCTTATCTGCATTTTCTGTATTTTTTTTCCTAAAATGGAATGGATTTGTTAAATAATAAAAAATTCAAATGTTTGTTATTATTAATAATGGTTACAAATGGACTTCGGGTTTGACGTAGACCTGGCCCAGATACCAAATAGCAGCATTTCCTTGTAGGATGGTGGTGGAAGCTTTTCATACTGCCAGTCTGTACTGCCCAGGTCCTCACCCCTGGGGCCTGGCTTCATTCTGTGAACCTGTTGTTCAGAATTGGATGGTGCCCTCTTGAGGACAGGGTCACTGATTTATTTATTTAGAGTCGCTATTCTGCCCAGTAACTTGCTGGCCTCAAGCTCTTGGGCTCAAGGATCCTCCTGCCTCAGCCTCCCGAGTAGCTGGGACTACAGGTACAACATGTGCCATTCTTCTGCCCAGTTCCTAAAAGTGTTCTACCCTGGCAATATGTTAGAATTGCATGGTGGGGGCTTTAAAAATGTGGAGGTCTGGGCCCCCCTCCTCCGATTTAGCTCAAGAAAGTGGCAGGAAGCTGAGGTTCCCACTAAGGAAGCCAGGCTGAGACGGAAGGTGCAGGGATGGACTCTGGCATTGTCTCTGCCAACCCAGGGGGCTGAGGGACTCTGCTCTCTCTTCCCAACTTGAAAAGGCCGGCCTAGCTGGCTACTTTTATGCTGGGGCAATGATCCCTCCCCCAAACTGGAACAGGGCCTTCCCAAAGAGAGTGTCTGCTGAAACACTGCAAGATCCCCGAGTCCCTGCATTCAACAAGAATTACCTACAGAACGGATAAAATGCACAATTGCTTCCCAAACAGAGGTAGGTGACATTTTATAAATAAAACACCAATTTAAAGTGTCACTGAATTAATAGTGCCTTTTGTGATTATAGAGTTTTTCAATTAATGGATGCTAAAAGTATGGCTACTACATCACATCTGGGACTGAAGCTCCCTCAAGTACTCGGCGTGGGTTTTCTCTGAGGACTTTTTCACAGTTAGTATATTAATTTTTAAAATAAAAATCTAATCAACCCAGAAATGAGGACAGCCCGGTTCGTCTGCCGACAGGGTTCCAACTACGTCTTCGTGACTTCAGGGCCGGTGCTTGGCTCTGTGCTGGTGTGTGACGACTGTCCTAAGAGGTCAAAGCTGAACGTTTTAACGACTTGTTTCTCAGCCTGGGCCCTCAGGTTTTGGCGCAACATGGAGCTCCTAGGGCTCCAGGTGGAGGGTGAGGCCGTGCTGCTTCCAATAGCCACCAGGTGGCGTTACAGGACACAGTTACCACTTGGAGCCCTGGAGGCCATTTCTCCAGGAGGCCTAAACTGGGGCCCTGCAGCCTCCTTGCCTACTGTCGGATAGTGACCACGCACAGGCCATCTCTACTTCCACACAGGCCATCTCCAGTTCCTCGGCATTCTGGAGTTCCTGGGAGACACCACGGAACAGTTTCCCCTTGGTTTTAGTTTGTGAAGCTTCTGGGAGTTGGGCCCGGATGTCCTGGGCCCGATCTAGGGAGGGTCCCTGCTTTTACATCTTTCTTGCTGCTTCTGTCCACGGTGGTCCCTCCCAGCTTCTCCGGTGGCTTCCAGAGTGGGACTGAATCCCTGGAGGCTGAGTGCCCCGCCATGGTGGGGGTGACCCCAGGTTGGGCACCCCCCACATGCCTATCTTGGAGGCTCACCCCGGAGCCACCTGTGGCACAGCTCTGGGGCTCCCCCTGTGTCCTTTTATCCTCTCTGCTGTGAAGAAATGAAAGCACCTGAATTCATTTGCCCACATGAAATTTGCAGGGGGTCTGAAGCATGGGGTGGAACTCGGACATGGCCTGGGTCACACAGAGAGCACTGTGAGCCCTCACTGCTCACGGATTTCAAGTTTCTCTGTTCCTTCTCCCCTTCTTCCTCATCCCTTTGCGTTGCAGCCCTGCATGGCCCTTTTCATGGCCCTGAAGGACACATACACCTCCCAGCTACACGTGCGGTCCCCAGGGCTCCCCTCCCCTCCCACCTGCAGTCCAGATCACAGCACACAGAGTACCTGATGGTCACACGGGGGTCGTGGGCCGCTCCACACACCATGGAGGCCTGCGTGCCCTTGATGACACTCTGGTCCTGGGGAGGCCTGGTGATGCGGGTCCGGGCTGAAAGAAATGGCGGAGACAGCTGTTGAGAAGGGCAGGGGCTCCAGAACCCGGGGCTGAGAGGGGTGTGGGACTGCAGGCCTGAGGAGACTGCTGCCACAGAGTCCTGGGAGGGTTAAAAAGAACGATGGAGCTGGGTGTGATGACGCACACCTGTGATCCCGGAACCCTGGCAGGCTAAGGCAGCAGGACTGCAGGTTCTAGCCCAGTCTTGGCAACCCAGGGACTTGGGGAGACCCTGTCTTGAGATTAAACAAGTAGAAAAGGGCTGGGGATGGAGCTCAGTGTGTAATCCCCAGAACCGCAAACAAACAAGCAAACCAAAACCAAGCCAAACCAAACCATAGCGGGGCTCCTTTCATGTGCTTGTAAATCTGTGTAAAGGGAGGGGAAAGAGCAATTTGCCCAGCCTGTGGGTGACCCAGCCAGGGTCTCCATGGGCTCTGCAATGCCCAGTTTGGAGCATGTGCAGGGGTGTGTACACCGAGCCTCTTCCCGGGGGCTGCTGGCACACCATCGTCCGGGCAGACGGCCTGTCTGAGGGACCAAACTCATCCCAACACAGCCAGGCCCATGAGATCACGTCCTGTCGGCTCCTGGCTGCTTCCCAGACATCACAGAAGTTGGCTGGGTAGCTGTGACAGACACCGTCTGGCCCACAGACCCTAAAATATGTACTACCTGGCCTTCTGTGGAAAACAACATCCTGATTTCTGCCCTGACGCATCTGAGGACAGCTCCTCTCTCCCACCACCTTGAGGCTGTCTGAGCAAGGCATGGGCTCTCCACCCAAGGCCTCGTGGTCCCTGGCTTGGGGATTAATTTGTCTCTGTCTGTCCCATCAGGAGACACAGACATGGCGTGGAGATGCTAGGCCTGGGAGTGGATGCCTGCCGGTGTCCCCGTGCTGTGGGCTCGCGCAGATGTGTGGAGAGCCCCACTCCGCCCCTCCACAGCCACTCACCCCACACGACCAGGTCTGCCGAGGCCTCGTCGACCCCCCGGGAGTTGGTGGCCAGGCAGGTGTAGGCACCCGCGTCCGAGGTGTGGGTGGGGCTGACGAGCAGGCTGCCCGACTCCAGGAGTGTGAAGCGGGGCAGCTGGACCGAGCCGCTGGCCAGGATGCGCAG